TGCTGCTGCTGCTGTAGCTGCTGCTGCAGCAGCAGCAGCAGCTGCTGCTGCTGTTTACCTGCTCAGTCAGGCATAGGAAGTTCAGCAGCTCCTCTGATGTTCGAGTGTCTGGGCGGCGCAGTAGCTCCTGCAGCAGCAGCAGCAATAAGACAAAATAATGTGCAGCAGCAGCAGCAGCAGCAGCAGCGAAACGAGCAGCAGCAACAGCAACGCAAAATAAATCAGCAGCTGCGGCAACGGAGAGGGGCTTAGAGTCCTGCAGCTGCAGCTACAGAGCTCACTAACTAGCTAAATGGCTAGCTACCTGGCTAGCTAGCTATCTAGCTAGCTGTCTAGCTAGGTAGCTAGCTAGCTAGCCAGCATCTCAAGCAGGTGCAGCAGCTAGCGGGCCAGATATGCGTTTAGCTGGCTCTCTAGCTAGCTAGATAGCTAGCTGTCTGCTCAGCGGGAATTTGGCTAGCTGGCTATCTAGTTCGCCAGCTAGCCAGTGCTAGCTAGCTAGCTAGCTAGCTAGCCATTGCTTTCGTCTTTCGTCTAGAGACAAAACAAAGCACACCTCCCCTTGCAGCTAAATCGACGTCTGGCTAGCTAGTTAGCTAGCCAGCAAGCTAACATCTAGCTGCTTGGCTGGCTAGCTAGCTAACTAGCTAGCTAGCTAGCTAACTAGCTAGCTAGCTAGCCAGCTAGCTAGCCAGCCAGGTTCACCGCAGCTCGTGGGTTAGTTGAAGGGCTAGCCAGTCGTCCAAGTCTCTGGACATCAATTTAGCTAGCCATCTACCTCGCTAGCTAGCCAGCCAGCCAGCCAGCTAGCTAGCTAACTAGCTAGCTAGCCAGCTAGCTGGCCAGCTGAAAGCGCCGCTAGCTAGTCAGCCCCCTACATAGCTAGCCGCTCTGGTGGCTAGCCAGCTAGCCATCAAGCTGGCCATTCCTGCAGCAACAGAGCTAGCCAGCCAGCTGGCGAAGAGCTAGCTAGCCAGTTAGCTAGCTAGCTACCTACTCAGCCAGTTACTTAGTTAGCTAGCTAGCTACATAGGCTACGGTCCTGCTAGCTAACTAGCTAAATCGCGACAGGCCTAGCTAGCTATCGGGCTAGCTAGCCAGTCAGCCAGTTAGGTAGCTAGCTAGCTAGATAGCAGCTAGCTAGCTGGCTAGCTAGCCGGCTATCTAGCTAGCTAGCTAGATAGCTGCTAACCTGCAGGTAATTGAACAGCTTGTCTTTTCTCTTTTCCAAGAAATGGTGATCAGTCGCAGGTGGCAGCAAAGTCTTGGGGGGCAGCGGCGGCAGGGCCCCGTAATCGCTGCAGCAGCACCAGCAGCAGCAGCAAAAGCAGCAGCAGCAACAGGGATAGCAGCAGCAGCTCCTAGGGCTAGTGAACAAGTAGCAACAAAGGCACCGGGCACAACTGCAGCAAAGGCGCCAGCAGCACGCAGAGCAACTGCGGCGGCGGCAGCAGCAGCAGCAGCAGCAAAGCAGCAGCAGATCAGCTGCAGCAGCAGCACACCTGGCAAGCAGCTGCTCGTGAAGAGCTGCGAAATCGCTGAAGCGACGCCATACTGCAGGCAAGAAAACGCATGCAAACAGCAGCAGCAGCAGCAGCAGCAGCTACTGAGAGCAGCAGCAGTAGCAGCTAATGGCAGCAGCAGGAGCAGCAGCAGCAGCTAGTAGCAGCTGCATCAGCAACGGCGACCGCAGCAGCTCCAGCTACACCAGCAGCAGTATTAGCAGCAGCAGAATCAGCATCGGCAGCAGCAGCACCATCAGCAGCAACAGCATCACCAGCAGCAGCAGCAACAGCAGCAGCAGCAGCAGCAGCAGACCTTCCCACGAGAGTTTGGAGTACTGTACAGACACCTTGAAGGCGACGCGGCCCTCTTCTATTTCCTCATACTGAGGGATGGAGACGCGGAGGTTGCTGCTGTCCATCCTAAACCTTAAACCCTAAACCCTAAACCCTAAATCCTAAACCCTAGTCCCTAAACCCTAAACCCTACGCCGTAAGCCCGCAGGCGTCGCCTCCCGCCTGGGGGCTCGGGCTCTGAGAGGAGAGACTGAGAAAACCAGTAAATAAATTTCCGAGGGTTTAGGGTTTAGGGCTTGGGCTCTAGGGTTTAGGGTTTAGGATTTGGGGGGTCAGCTGCGGCGTACAGAGTACACAGCCGCAGACGGGGAGAGCCCGTGTCATGCAGAGTGAGCACAGCCAGACCCTAAACCCCAAACCCTAAACCCTAAACCCTAAACCCTAAACCCTAAACCCTAATGGCAAGGCAGCGCAGTCCGAGTTGGCTGCGGCCCCCGCGACTGCTCGCCTAATTGAATGTGTTGTATTTTTTTCTAATAAAATAGATTTTAAAAAGGGAAATAAAATGCAAAAGCTGCATAAAAAAGAAAG